AAAATCCTTCCAGCTGCACAGCATCCGATACCAGTGGAAACAATCATCCAAAAAATGTGATTCACATCCAGAAAAAGAGGAATTAAAGTTTCCAAAAGCAAATTCTCAAAATTAATGTAACAGAGCTGCTCCAACATGCAGCCACCTTGAGCGGCGCAATTCTAGAACAAAGATATATGTTAAAAAATGAAAGCTCGTAAAACGTCAAACCTCTAGGTCCTTTAAAGAACCCTGCAGCGTCCCAAAACTAACTACTGAATCTGGAAAACTCGTTTAAACACACAAACTGAAGGAGTTCAGTTTCAATTTCCTTGATAATTATGATTTAAAATATTACCACAGCAACGTCACCATGGAAACAAAAGTAACCATTTAAAAATCATTGCTGTCGGACACAGACATAAGGAGCATGGCAGCAAATCTTAAAAGGTAATGTGTTTCTTTTTAATTCAGTTAAGTAAGTAGTATGTAATTAAAGTAATAGTTAGTAATTCAGTTATTATTTATTTTATTAATTTTAAAGAAACTATTGAAAAAAATAAAAAGTGAAGAGGTCTTCTAATATGTGTGAGTAAAATTGGCAAACAAGAATTATTGTGCTTGAGTAGCTGAACTTCCCAAGACCAGATACATATAGGCTATGTAAATGTATTTTTTTATATGTTGTAGCTGTGTTTTCAATTTACTTACCATTACTAAATACTCAGTCCTGAATTAATAATAATTAAAAGAAAAAACATAAGGAGTTGGTATGCTAATACTTTAGCTTTTTTTTTAACCAGAAACGAAATAAAACACATTTAAAACCAGTATAAAGTTCTGTCAGTGTTGACTAAAACAACAAATATAATGTACTGACATATAAATGTTTGTGTGTAGCCCAATGATGAGATGGTACAGGCAAAAGATTATTGCTAACCAAATAACTTTAATGTATTTATAGCTTTAATACTGCTTTGCTTAGTTAGTAAAGTTGCTGTAACTTGTGGCATCCCTTGTTTAATATTTAAGAAATTTTCACAATGTACAATGTTTGTAACTCGCTTTAGGTTATTTAAATAATGCATCTTTACAGCATTAAAAGTTGGTGACAGCTCAAACACCACTACCTGCAGGATGTTCAATTCAATTCATTTCAATTCAGTTTATTTATATAAAGCGCCGGTTCACAACAGAAGTCATCTCAGGGCACTGAACAGAAACATTCATATATAAAAATAATAATTTAACATTATTTATCTGAGGAGCAGAATGCTTTGAGTTTAACTTCATCACAGACTCATCTTGAGCAAGCATGAAGGCGACAGTGGAAAGGAAAAAACCCCTCATGAGGAAGAAACCTTTAGCAGAACCAGGCTCAGGACAAGCGACCATCTGCTTCGACAAACTGGGTTTGGTGGGAACAGATACACAATGGCAGGTCAAGAATCACATGTTAAGATAGAAATGGTATCAAATGAAAATTATTACATTTTAACATCCTGATGCATGCTCAATAATCCAGGTAGAAAAATCCAAAAAAGTTCAATCTGGTCCTCTGGACATTCAATACATTTTAACAAATCATTTAAGGAAATTAGGTCAATTTGTCCTCCGGTAGTCTAAGCCTATGGCAACAAAACAAGCCAACCCTAATTATAGGATTTATCAAAAAGGAAAGTCTTAAGCCCAGTCTTTAAACTGGACAACGTGTCAGCCTCACAGACAAAAACTGGAAGTTGGTTCCACAAGAGAGGAGCCTGATAACTGAAAGATCTTCCTCCCATTTTGCTTTTGGAAACTTTAGGAACCATGAGTAAGCCTGCAGTCTGAGAGTGAAATGCTCTATTGGGAAAATATGGAACAACAAGGTCTCGAATATAAGATGGATCTAGGTTGTTGAGAGCTTTGTAGGTTAGAAGTAAGATTTTGAATTCTGGACTTGACAGGGAACCAATGGAGAGAAACTAAAACTGGAGAGAGATGATTTCACCTACTAACTCCACAATTATTTGACTTTTTTTCAGAACTGAGAAAAAAAGGTGTTGAAAAATGTTTGCGTTATCAAAAAAGTGACACACTTTATTCGTTCTAAATTGTAGTAAGTACTATGATAATGAAGAGCCAAATGATGGTGTTTGGTGTGGTACCTGGAGGCCCGCCAAGCGTAGAGGACCTATATCTGCCATGTCTCAAAGTCCAGGGCCAAAGTACTTACTACCTGGACTTACAGGTAAAGCTAAAATATGTAATTTGCACTTATTGATTTCACATTTAAAATAATCTGTCCTTGTGTCTTAATAAAGGTGCCATACAGCATGATCCAACCAAGTGCAGGGCACCAATGTACACATTTGGATTAAATCTTAATGTGGAAAAAACTGATTGTTCCCCTGGGCCAAAGTATTTGCTCCCCTCTAATGTTACAAGATACGGCAAAGATGGGACACCTGCGTTTTCACTCCACGGCAGTCTAAAGCATCCAGAAAAGTTCCAAGTTCCTGGACCAGGTCAGTGAGGCCCTGCACATTAAAATAATGTAAAAAATTATGAGCTTTGAATACTCAGATAGTATTTTTACTTTTTATATATACATAATTTGTTTATTTCTTATGTCGCAGGTCTGTATAGCCCAGAGAATTCAAACAAATTAATCTTCCCTTCAACTCCTGCCTATTCCTTGTCTGGAAAAAACAAAGATATCAACAAGAACTTTACCCCGGGTGAGATTTTTTTATTTTTTTCACACTAATATATTCACAAGTTTGCCTTGGAGGAAATTAGAACAATATCTTCTGCTCATGCAGGTCCAGCTGCCTATACGCCGAGGCTTCAAACTGTGATCACTCCTTCAGCTCCATCTTACACCCTCTCTGGTCACAGTAAAAAGGGGAATTTCCTTGAGGACATAACACATGTAAGTTTGTACTGTCATTTGAAAAGAATGCAAACAAGCCATGATTTTAGAGTTGTTATCCGAATTGTGGCGTCCACTTCAGTCTCCAGGTCCAGCTGCTTACAATGCTGCAGACCCATACATTTCTGGGTTAAGACCTCCTCAGTACAGCATTGGAGCCCGCCGCTTTCATCCTGACAAATCTACAAACACCCCAGGTCCAGGAGCATACTCTCCTGAGAAAGTAAGCAACATTTTATTTATTCAGAATTTATTTCGTGAATTACTGAGATAAATTAGATACATAAACCATCAAAATCTATTCTCTCTCTATATGTTAGTGTGTATATATATATATATAT